TTGGGGGGGTTTAAAAGCCACAGAGATGTAGTGTTTATTAAAAATGCGTCTCAACTGCTCCGATACTCCTGACACGTACGGGATCACTACAGGTTTTCTCTTGGGCAGCGGTTGTCCTTCTCTCCTGGATCAGCTGGAGCTTTCTTTAGGAGCCTTCCAGCTTTGACAAAAGTCCAGCTGGGATAACCTCATTTACTCAGGTACATCAGGTAAATAAGGGTACATCTGTCACCATCTTACATAATGCTGTGATTGCAGCCATTCACCATAATTATGATTAAGGAACTGACCTCCCAGCCCATTGTTCCGTCAGTGGGCTGGTTTCAGTCATTATGCAAATGTGCTGTTTATAAGGTTGAAACCTGCAGTCAGCTGAGACTGAAGACGTCACCTGATGATGATGAAACGTTTCTCCCACAAACGCTACGTCCAGATGAACTTTTGGAGGTTTCCTTATCTGGATGATTGAGCATCAAGACATTTGTAAATGCAGTTTGTGTTAAATTGTGCTGAACTTAATGCTGAAACAAAGCGTGTCTTATTTGTGCCTAATGTGGTTGTGATAGTTGCTCTCAGGCTTGTTCATTTATCTGGAATATCAAATTCAGTTAAATCTAAAATCTTAAAATTAAGACAGCAGTTTGATTCAAATTTATAAGAAGTAAAAGAGTGATTAGCTAAACATAAGTTAGACACACACCTAATCACCAGCTGTTGTCCTATATGTACACATTTATACAGACCTGCATGCACAACTAAAGATTGCTTCAGTCGTGTCTTAATGTGCATACGACTGAACTTTCCGAGCACAGGAAAATAATACTCCAAAAAGCTGCATCAGTCAATAAGCTGTGAGGCTGATATCAGAAATAAACCTGCTCTAGCTGCTCACACACTGTGCAGAAGCAGAAACCTGACACATGCCGGAGGACAGAAGCAGGCACCGTGGGGTGCAGCTGATCACAGCAGTTCACAGGGACGTGTTTCTGCTCGGTTTGTGGTGGACATACAGAAATATATTTGCTTTATGTTTCTTTTCTTTACTGTCTTTGTTCGGTGCTGAAGGCGTGCATGTAGACATTGTGACATCAGATCACAATCAGCGTTCTAATCATCAGTGTTTGTGCCACTGATGGCAGCTGGAACTCTAACCCAGCGTTTGCACTGACAGTG